AAGGTAGATCACTTAGTAGGTTAAAGTTTTTTAAGTTTAATTTAGTCGTACCTTAATTAGTTACGTTTTGTTTTTTGTTACTACTCTTTACTTTACTTAATAATATATATATATATATATATATATATATACACACACACACACACACAAATATATATACACACACTTTTTAGTTTCCTGAGTTTGTCAAGTTATAACAAACTCTATTTTTAAAAATGATCTGTAACACCACAGTGATTTCTTAAGTTCTACATATATGAGAATTATTATCTATAAAGAACAAACTTGAATGTGCCTACATGCATGAGAGTGAAAAACAGACAGAAGTGGGGTTATTATTATCCTGATAGTCTACTTTTATTTTTGCTTGCTAAGTCTACACAAGATGAATAATGGCTATTATAGACAAGTCCAAAAAGGCTGAGAATGATTTTTAAACACTGTACTAAAATCCTACAAGACAATTAAGTTCACCTCAAGTGACACTTGAGGTAGAAAAATAAGAAGATTTATAAGGGAAGATAGGAGGAAAAAAAATTAGCAATTCTTAATGACTTCTTAGCTAGGTAAGAAAATAAAAGAGACAAAGTACTGGGAATAAATACGTAACTAAAAGTGTGCTCAGACCATTTCACTAGTCCTGTGCCTCTTGCACCCCACCCCTAGTTATGATAAAGATATATAACAAGAAAGTATGCAGGAGGGTATCTATTTCTGTGAGCAAGAACTATGAGTAGGAAGTTAACCTAAGGTATAAATGACAGGGAAATACTTTACCTTAATTTATCTGGGATTGCTAAAAGTATTTCCTCGATCCTTATACCTTTCTTTTAACTTTTAATATAAATACTTTCAGACATATACAAATGTTGAAAATAGTATAATGAACCTAATCACCTAACTCAACAAATACTATCATTCTATCTTGAAGTTTTTTCTTTATTTATCCAAATATTTATTTCCCCTATCCTAGAAAAAGATCAATGCAGTATAGTGTCATTTTCTTATTTTTTATGCCAGAAAAAGGCATCCAAAAAAAATTGTTCCTCTAAACAACATCTGGCTTGGCAATATCAATTTAAATAAATGACCACCAGGAGGAGCTCACCTAGTGTATCTAATGGCCATGGAGACTCATTCAGAGGCACTTGAAGCAAAGGAAAGGGGAAGGGGTATTTAATCATAGAATGCTTAAATTTGGGTCTACAAACTTCAAGTGTCATTAAATCAATAACAAAAAGAGCTCAGTCCACTCAATCTAACCAATTTACTTCAGCCAATACCCAAGACTCACAAAATTTGTGGAAATCAATATTTGTAATTCCCTGGCAATCTGATCGGAGCTATTAAAATAGATTACACAATTTGATTCTCCAGCTTCTGAAAGTTCACCCTCCAAAACAATTTCCTTACAAATCAAATACATTTTTCTAAATCATCATGTGCTAGAATTATTTCAGGCCATAAGTCAGAGATAAAAACTGGAATTTACCAAGGTACTCTTTCATAAAGTATGTTACTTTTTAAAGTACATCTTTTAATGATGTATTTTATATATGACTTAAACTTTGTATACTTCAAGAAAAATTCTCCTTCAATAAACTTCAGGAAAATTAAATACATAAGTAATTATAAAAGGTTTTCTTTCTCACTTTTTTCAAGAAGACAGATTTACATCCTTTACATGTTTAGATGTGGGTAAATGTGGAAAGCAGATGAAGAGACAGAACTGCTACACAATTCCAGAGGCCAACATTAAGACTTTGTTCTAGATTTGTTCCAGTAGGTACCATTCACATGGAAGACAATGTGAATGGTGCCATCTAGAGTTGTGCAGCTCAACAGAACTGTGGAGAAAAAATAAAACTTACAATAAGCTTCTATCAGTGAACCTATCAGACAAAATACATTCTTCTGAAAATAAATAGAAGATGGTCAATCATAAATAAGTAGATTTGAGATGATAAAGAAAGGGCTCATTTCACTGCAATTCTTCCCCATTTTCAGAATATATAGATTTATATGGAATCTACCCCCGGGATGTCAAGAAAGGCAATTTTCTCCATATTGCTGTCATCCATACTTGCCTTCAACTTCTATGTCTTGATATTAATTCATATCTTCTTGAACAAGTCAATTTAATCTCCAAAAAGCTGTAAGCAACTTCTCTGAATAACGAAAAGTTCCATATGTTTCATCTAACTACAATTAAATCTATTGTCCAACATTAGAAACAGTACATCTTGCTAACCAAAATAAAGCTGTTTTAGTTCCTAGGCAATTTCAAAGAAGGAAATGAATAAACAAAAGAAGATGAGAGCTCACTTTCCAGAAAATATTAACCAATAATAATTTTAAATAAGGAGAAAGAAAATATACTTAATGATTAAAACAATATAAAATTTTAAAGTATGTACTACTTGCCAAATTTTTGATTCTAGCAGTCTTTAAAATTTTGGCTAATCCCCCTGAAAACCAATTACAAGTAAGACTTACATTGGTAATATATGGTTCAATAGCTTGAGCTGTCCTCTTCAGTAAAGCCTTTGCCAAATCATATGCTTGCTTGTTTAAATTCTGGGGAAAAAAAACACAATCTATATTATATATGTGATATATATATTCTAAATATGAAAAATAAAATATTACTTATATTCAAAAAGTTACTCTTAAGTAAATGAATGAGAAAATGGTCTAAGGCTCAATTAGAATAAGAGGGAGACAGTAAAGTCATTTTTCTCATAAGACTAACTGGTCATATCTTATTCATAATATAAGGTAAACCACAGAGAAAAATTCAGTAAGTGTTTTTTGGACAGAAAACAAGATACTCAGTCATTGTAAAGTTAGTCCCAAAGTCAAATCAGTTCAGCTGAGTACAAATACAGACTGCTCACTCCAAATCCAAAAAAACCCAAAACATCATTAGAGAATAAACTGAGTTCTGGTGTAGGCAGAAATGAGGGACCCAAAGGTGGGGAAATACAAAAGAGTTTGGGGCAGTTATAGGAAAGCAGATTTTCTCAAAGCAATCTCAGAGAACAGCTAAGTCCAAGGATACAAGAAACATAACAAACAGTCAAATATGAAAAGAAAAAAGTGCAAGAGAAAAAATACTTTAAGAAAATATATTTCTGTGCGACTCTGATGATAGAATCATGACCAACGATCTAAAATGGAATCACTATTCCAGTTTAAACACAAGCAGGAATAGTGTATATATCCTGAAATTCCATTCAGCATATTTTTAGATTTATCTGCACGGATGTTTTGTATTGTATTATTTAATTCATTTCTAATTGCTGTTCAGTATGTTAATACATAATATACTACAGCTTATTTACTCATTCTCCTATTCATAGATATTAAACTGCCTTGTACTTGCCTGTGTATATAAAAAATAATTTTCTATAACTACTGTCTTTGCCATTTATCAAATGAGCTGTTTTGTCTTGTTATTTATAGTTCCTCTATAAATTTCATACACTAAACATTTGTCAATTACATGCACAACATAGCTTAGCCTATACTTATGTTGTCTCAGAGCAAATCTTTTTTCCATCCTTTTACTTTCAACCTCTTTCTGACAGTATTTTTGTTCTCTTATTAACAATGACTGCGAGGGAGGATATCGCTCAGTGGTAGACTGTGTGCTTAACGTGCACAAGGTCCTGGGTTCAATCCCCAGTACTTCCATTAAAAATAAATAAATAAACCAAATTACTGCCCCCCCACAAAAAAAACAATGACTAGCTGGATTATTTTTAATCCATTCTGACAATCTGTCTGAAGTAAATTTGGGTCATTTACATTTATTGTGATTCTTCTTTGCACTGTAATCCCTGTGAATGCTAGGTAGCTATAGACTTAGATTATACCTTGCCAGAAAGGTCTTAAGTTCGCAGAGATCTTTATACTGGTGAATCACAGTACCGTATTTTCAGCTGCTTACTAGAGCTAGATCATTTTCAAAGAACACACACACACACACACACACACACTTTGATTAATATCACCCAGGCAAGAAACACTGTTACCAACATACCCTTTTCTCCAAATTAGTAGAGACTTCCCTTTTAATTTTTACCCCTCTCCTCCAACTACACTATCACTGTCTTTTACCTAAGGCTCTAATTGGTTGTGTATCTCCCAACATATTGAGTTATCTAATAGCATCAAAGTAGCTATTAATGCACTCCTTGAAACATAATCCTATACAAAACTGAGTTTTACAGACATTTTATCACATGTACTAAATCTCTTATTTCTTCTTTTCATTTAATTAGTGACCAATAAGTGTACCATGTTTTATTAAACAATTAATATTCATTAACATTAATGAATAAAATAATCTCGAAAACTAAGGTTAAAACAGGATACACTGAATTTTGAGCCTAAGAACAAATTCTGGACACTAATATTAACAGGCTTTAGACATATTTCAGTATATATTGCTAGTTACCTTATGGGCAGGTACCAGATTCACCAAAACCGTATCCAAAAGCTCCTGAGATACTGTATCTCCTTCACAAATAATAGAACTCATGAGGTCTACCATGTGCATATGAACTTTCTGATTGTGGCCATTGCTGGAATTCAAAACAAATATTTCATTTAAAGTATACCTGAAATGTACAGGATTTAATGATAACATGGGACATTATACTTTATTTTTAAAATGATACTAAGGTATTAATTAAATCAAATTCTATCTATTCCTTTAAAGCTTCTTTCCTCTCTCCCAAATCTTACAGTAGCATCCAAGATATTTTTTAAACTACATTTCCTGGACTACTTTTGACTAATTTTAACCACTTCCACAATCAAAAGTAACCAAATCAAATGCAACTTTGGTTTTACCTTAATTTCAGAAAATCAAATTGGTTTGCTAAAGTTAATTCTGGTAGATAACTTTAAAGAATACAGAAAAAGCTCAACTATTCACATGAACTGAGTCAGTAATATGTGATTTAAATAAAAGAAAAATAATATAATCCAAAAAATATTTTTACATTGGCTATAGATTGCCTTACGCCACTCTTGTAATTATTCTTTACAATACAAAGTTGATTAAGTTCTATTGATTTTTTAAAACACCTATAAAAATCATGTTGAGTTTTTAAGTTACAACTCTTATGAGCCTTCCAATATTCATAACAAACACAGTTTATGTATTTATCTGTAAGTTAAAAATTCTTTATATTTTAAAAAAAGCTTACATTCCCAGTAAAATAAACTTACTTTATAACTGAAAATAACGTTCTGTATAACTGGGTAAAAATTTCATTGCTATCTTCCAACTCAAAGCATATGTTATACGACTTGACCCAAGCAATGTTCTAAAAATAAGTAAAAAAAGTAAAGAATAAACACTTCAATCAGTAAAAATATACAAGCACAAAAATCAGTTTAAAATGTCAGATCAAGATATAATATGTTGCTTACCTCAAGTAAATAAAAATACCTATTGAATTGTGGGCTCTTTGTATCCTCTAGCCCCTTCAACTGCCTTGTTATAAACATAAATATATCCTTAAAAAAAGAAAACACAAAGTATTGTTTAGATTATAAATGCTAAATGAAAATATTCAAGAGATTCCCAAAGGTATTTCAGCATTCATGTGTATTTATCATGATAAACTGTGAAGAATCAGGGGGAAAAAACTTGTATTTGGCTATAATCTTTTAAATGTGTATCATCATGAAAACACCAGATATCTTACTACCCTTCAAAGAAAAGCTGTAAATCATTTACCATGATCTTAAAGTAGGAAAAGAAAAACTTCATCTTACAGTACGTTAAAAAAAAAAAAGACCTGAGAAACCAAGTAAACTAACATTTCTGCTATTATTAATAAAAAGATTGCAATGACTGAGAGCTGATCTGATCAGGTTTGCTGGAACAGCACCATGCATTATAATTATACAGAAAGAAACAGCAGTTTAAGAAACTTAAAATTCCAAAATAAAATCACCAAGTGAAAAGATAATAAATTGCAGAAGCTTAGAAATTTTAAAAGGACCCTTAGAAGTTAACTTGTCAAGCTCTTACCTAGTCATTATAATTACTTATTTTTCCCCTACCATTTCTCAGTCTATCCCCATCTCTTGCTTTTGTGGTTTTTTTTATTACACACCCCTTTATACCTCAGTAAATATAGGTTCAATGTCACTTTGAATCAAATTTTTATGGATAATGTTTCTGAAAAGTTTGGGAAAGGTTAAAATGGTAATAAAAGCTAATTCTGCAAAGGAAGCATGCTATTCAATCAATAAAAAGAAAACAGGAAAAAATGTTTACCTTATAAGTAAACAACAAGCATTTCTTAAAAAGGAAGAAATATAATATACAGATGACTGAGTAGTTTTTCAAGAAAAATACTATCAAAAGTACATCCTTCAAAAATGGTTACTACACATTTACACATTTGTAAAAATATATCCTCCAAGAATGAACCATCTCTGGTTTCACTAAGAGAGAACTAAGTGCTGTATCGACTCTACCCGAAGGCGGAAAGACGATACTCATTTATAATCAATATCCTAAACACGAAGCCAGTGTATAAAAAGTTTTCTGACAACAACAATAAACTGACAGTGTATAGGTGGGAATCAAAGTGTCACAATTTTCTATTACTACTACTGTAGACAAAGAAAAACACAAACTTGAGTCTTGAGATAGGTCATTGATTATGCACACTGAGAAATCCACAAGAGAGGTAGAAGTAGCAGCACTCTTAAGTTAGACTTCCCTCTTCACGAGAATGCCAACAAGACACCTAGTGAGGAACAGCCACAGCCCAGTCAACCCCAATACAATTACTCCTTAAACAAATCAAGTGTTCCAAATTAGAGGTTCAACATATACAAAAATCAACACATCAACACACACAATCTGGGTACCCAACTCCAAAGACTGGTTCCTGTTATCTACTTGAAGTCTCTGGTGTTTCTCAAATCTTACAATTTAACTCTATTTCTAAATGACAAATATTGTCCCCCACCTCCCTCATCTTAAGATATATAAAACAAGCTTGCCCAAATCAGTTTGGGCATTCCATACTGGAATCCTGGCTGACTTGATCAAATGAACAGGTTCCTCACTCCAGTTATCAAGAAGCAACTCTCTGAATTTAAGAACAAAGTCTGGGTTGTTTTTCATCAAGGTAAACCCAGTTCCTGATACATAACTGACATCAATATTTGTTAAATAAAATAAACCTAAATTGCCCTTTTTTCACACTAGGTATTAATAATCTTCCTATGGACTTATTTCCTAACCCAGTTTCAACAATTATCTTTTATTATTGTTGGTTTTTCTAACTTTCTTCTAACCTGCTTTATTTAGTATCGTTTTGCACAGCTCTAATTATTTTATGCTTTCTACTCTTGGGTTAATCAGGCTATTCCCTTTCTTTTCTCGTCTTTTAAAAATTATTCCATTCACAGGCCTTTACTTACAACTGCCATAACCAGGTAATAGGTGTGTTTTCTACCTTTCATTCAAATTCTTTTCACTGTATATTCTTCAAAACAATTTACATCACACCTTCTATTAAATGATCAGGATTCACATGCTATAAATTCAGATTAATAGTAGATACTGCGTTTTAAATAATGAACATGGTCTTCAATGTGGAATTTTTTTAAAAGGAAAAGGAAGTGTCCCCCAAGTTATACTGAAATAGCATTAATGATGACATAATATAAAAACTATATAATACACTGTACTAATCTACTTCTTATCCTGAAGATGAGAAACTGTTTTTACAAAATTAAGTACTAATGGTTCTGGCATGGGGGGAAGTCAAGGAAGAAGTTCTACAGAAAACAGAAGTAGTTTAACAAAAGATTGCTGCAACTAATGTCAAAGAATCCAAAGAAATGATCTAAATACTGTAACTCCCATTTTAGTTAGAAAGATAAAGCATCATCAGTCAATCTTGGTAGTTCTTTTAATCAGTACTTGCCTTTAGTTTATCGGGGGACGTATAAGGAGCTTCAGGAGCATAAATCCTGAAAATATCAGCAAGGCAGCAGGCTACCAGTAAGCGAACATCTTTGTCAGGATGCTTGAGGAAAAAGTCTGAAGCAAGATGTAAAGCTAGGTTTAAATAAAGCTCCTTTTCCTCTTCAGAGTCCTGGTCCATATCCATGAAAGTTTTCACAACCATCTATATATTAAAAAAAAAAATCAAGTAATAAAATCTCCATGTAAAAATAACATTCATCTGAAATAAAAACCGTACTAATTACAAAGGTTAAATTCCAATAAATTCAATTTCATGTGAACCCTGAAAGTGTCTATCTGAGAGGACAAAATCATTCTAAAACTATGAAGTAAATACAACTTTTCTTTAAAAGACTAAGTAAAATACTTTTCATTTATCCATCATACCTGCTACCCAGATTTTAAAAGTTTAAAATTAGCCTTACATAGTACTTCATCTCACTTTTACAACATTGAGCTAGAAAAGAATATATAAACAGATTCAAGAGAGGATGACAAAGATGCATCCCTAGACATTAAAAAAGACTACCATGAAATAACTACTAAAGCATCAAACAAAATATTTCTTGTGCCACTGTAAAAGATAATATGATATGGATGGTTCATTAGTAGGACTCAATGGCATGTATGGAAGAACAGAAGGAAGCAAACATTTACATAAAAGTGGGACAGAAACAAAAATGGTGAAAAATGATATAGTTCGAATTCTGTGAAGAAACTTTCGCTAATTTCAGTATTAGTCGTCACAACGAAGCCTCAATCTGTAATATTACTACTTCAAATAAGATTTAACAAAACGTCTACCTTGACAGGAACATTTAAATACAACTCTAATGCAAAGGTGACCATCTGGCATCCACTAGGTGGTGCTGCAAATACTAATCAACAAGTAGGGCTGGCCACCAAGTATCAATGTCTCTGACTTGGGCCTTGAGACAGACTGCATGGATTTCCACTTTGCTGTAGGCTAGACTTCTGAGTAATGAACTGTCCAATGTATTACTGAATTCTCAGAGCAGCTGTGGGTAACAGTGTTCCTCTCAGAGCAGACCCTCAGTTCTACTGTATCAGAGGCCATAACCAACAGTAGAGTAATCCTTCCAGTCTGACACTACAATTAGTTTAAGGGGTACAATGTCCAGAGTTACTCTTCTAACTTTATTTTATTGTTTTTAAGATAGATGCTTTGATGGCTGAGGTGAATTACGAAAAAAGATGAGGGAACAAAAAAAGAGCTACATGCAGGGAACTATTCCTTTCCCTGGAATTTCCTCACAGAAGAGAGATTAAGTATATTTTTAAAAAATGTTATAGGAAACTCTAGAAATTACATAAACGACACCTTAAAAGTTAACAAATTTTTATAATTTATAAAACTTATACCTGTCCTTGTACATATCAAAAAATTACTATCATCCCACATTAAATCCTTTCTATATTTCTCTAAGAAAGTTGCTAAAAACAGTGAAAGTATAAATTAGAAAAACAAATGAAGAGAAGTAATCAGGTTACTGCTGGGCATAAACGTCTACAAAATAATGAAAACATACTATAAGAACTAAATGGGAGCACTGTGAAAGTCATTCCACCAAGACAAAGATCACTGAAGGACTAGACAATAGGAATTCCTCAACACTGTCTACACCTCAAATGGTGGTATAAAACTCAGGAATAACTCGTATATGAGTCCTTTAAATTAAAAAAGATGTCTGGGAAAAATAACACCCCTAAAAGACACTAAATGCTAGTAGCTTGTAAGTGTGGTCTCTGTGTTTAACATTCATTTCTTAGCAAACGGTAAGGATGATATCATTGCTAAAAATATAAACAAACCTGAGGAAATAAATGTATTCATTTCTTTAAAAATTTAACAAATCAAGAAAATGCAGACACATAGAAATGAAAAATGTCTTATGTTTGTAGGCTAACTATTTTTAATAAAATATCCACAAATTCTCAACTAGACAAAATATCTATCCTGGTAAATTTAATCTGCTCAAAGATACCTTGATTTGAATAATAAATATTTTATATCTGACATTCTAACATTTTGTGCTTAAGGATAGAATACCAAGACTTTCTGTGAAATTTATAATAGCATTAGGAACGTTTTCTTCTAATAAAAATAAACCATGCAAAATGTGACAACGAATATATGTATGTTCATGTATAACTGAAAAATTGTGCTCTACACTGGAATTTAACAAAACATTGTAAAATGACTATAACTCAATAAAAAATGTTTAAAAAATGCACACACACACAAAAATAAATAAACCATGCAGTAATAAAACAGTACTATAAGGCTCCTAGACCCTCAATGACAAATTAAAGTTAAGTTTTCCAGTCTTGAAATAATATAACAAGCGACATAAATGTCTAGGTAGCTACAACATAGAAGGTAAAATATGTTCAAAAATAAAGAACAACTGAACTAATAATCAGCTTAACAATCTCTGTGGCCACTCACTTCCTTCAACCATTTAAATCATGGAGACCATCACTGCCTCAAAGAAAAAGATGTAATATTGCCCAAATAAATATGAAGACAATCAAACCATATGGCAGATGCCTCATGTATTTCCATATACTATCAATCTTGACTCACTGTTGTACATCAGAAGCAGAGAAAGGTGCCAAAAGTAAAATTCTGTAACTTACTCTCAAAATACAAGAAAGTACAATTCAGGTTTGGTACTCAGTAGAAAGAATCAAAACTTCTCTTCTCAGATTAAAATGGTTGCTTTTATAAAACAAATAAGATATAGGAAAAGGAGACAACTTTCTACAGACAATAATGAGTATAAAAATACTGTGGATTTGTTCTTTATACTAGAGTATAGGAGACTCCAGAAAATCTAAATTTTACCTTTCCAACTGCTCTCCCATTAACAACAGCTAAGTAAATTCTACAGTTTTTTATCTACTCCTGTCTCCCAGATCCTAATTATAGCTAATTAGTTTTGGCCAATAGACATTTTCTGCTTTGATTTCTTTTTTAAGTTGCCCTACCGAGATACAGTTCTATGCGATTTCCACAGGTAATCCCCCAACTCTGCCCTTTCTAAAGAGATGTCCAAAAGACATAACCCAATTTTACTCACCTTTAACCGTCTCACCATCTCTTCTTTAGATATTTTGTCTGAGATTTCCTTGACACCAGGAGGATAGGTAATTTTTCCATCATTGGTTCTTGTCTTTGAATGAGCCATGATGGAAATATTTTTACCCCTAAAACAAGAAAACTATTAGATGCAAAACAAAAAAATAAGACTTAACAACATTCATAATAAACATGGAAAGGAATCCGTCCCACAAAAAGAATGTATAACTACTTCCTAATTTATAGTAATTCATTTATCTAATTAATGAAGATCACTTTACTGAACATTTCACCAATTTCTTGTTTAATTTTACTTTTATTTCCATTTCTGTTAGTGGCAAGCTAGGTTATCTGCACTAATGCTCCAACTACAAAAACAATAAATGACTTAAAGATATATATGTGTACACATATATGTAGTACATACACACCACATTTTTTTTGTAGCACCACAAATTACTTGGGCCAAAATCTAAGAGAAAACAGAAACCCAGAGAAGTAAATAGAACATTATATTCATTTACATCTTCAGGGCATCTGCCAACCCTGACAAATCTAGCGTTTCGTTTGGTGGTTACAGAAGGAGGACAGAGTCCTGGTCAAGGCAGAATGTCAAATAGGAGACCCTTCTGACTTTAATATAATACTACCCCAACCCAAAAAAGATAACACCTGCAAAAGAGAGAGTTAAACCAAAGGTCAACACGTGCCTATCCCCCCATTAGAACCCAGAGGCCAGCTTGAGAAGGCTGCCTAGGTATTAAGAACAGAGAAGAAATAGTAGATACAAGGGAGGAACACCCAATTAGTTTTGGCCATGAGTCTGAACATTTTCCCAGTTTCACATTACCTAAGTGGTACTGAAAACCTCAACACACAAACTTAGTGAACCCCAATTGGCAGCACCCCTAAGAACCTAATAAGTAAACTGAAGTCCTCCCAGAGGAGGGTATCTTCATTCTTTGCCTCAAAGAACCCTCATATGATGTTTCTAGGACAATGAGTATTTCAAGTCAAAAATAATCAAGCACCAAAGGAAACAAGACACTACTAGCAAGAACCAGCAGAAAAACCAAACCCCCAAGTACAGACCCAAAAACTTCAAATATTACAATTATCAAACAGATGATAAAATGACTATTCACTTGGTCCTTAAACAACATGGGTTTGAATTGCACATGTCCACTTATATGCAGAGCTTTTTCAATAAATACTACCATACTATGGAATAGAGTGAAATAAAGACAAATTCACCAAACAAAAACTGAAATCTATAATAAGTTAAAACATATACCATTTAGAACAATGTTTAACACATATTAGTATCTTACAATGTAATATATATAGTATACATAATAAATTTTAAAGACCAAGATTTTAAAATCTTATTATAGAGAAATTACCAAAAAAATAAAAAATTAAGAAATAATGATATGACATTGAAAGTAAAAGGATGAAAAAAAGGATGCAAACATTTAATAAAATAAAGCAAATAAGCTAAGTATAAATTACACAAATAGGCAGGCCCCAGGATCCACTGCTTGGTATTTACTCAACAGAAACACATACATGTGTCCACCATAAAACATATAAAAATGTTCATAGCAATACCACTCCTACTAGTCAAAACAGAAAACACAAATGCCTATCAACAGTAGAATGAATAGATATACTGTAGCATAGTCATACAATAGAATATGATACAGCCATTAGCTGTAAGCAATAAGCTACTGCTTCACACAATAGAGATCAATATTACAAGGAAAGAAATCAGACACAAAACACTATACATAAAATATGATTACACTTTCAGAACAGTTCAAAAACAAGGAAATCTAATTTATGATGTTACGGATCAGGATACTGAATTCCCTTGGTGGGAGATATAATTTTAAGGGGAACAGGAGATTTCTTGGGTACAGGTTATGTTCTACTTCTTTATTTGGATGCTGGTTACACTACTGTATTCTCTTTGTATAAGGTCATAGAGCTAGACGCTAATAATTTTTATACTTTTCTGAATTGTAACAACAAACAAGAAAACCTCCAAACATTTAAACATTTAAAAGAACTTTAAGAACCAATGAATCGGGGAGTGGGAGGAAACAAGCACTGAATCAACAAAGTCAAAAACCAGGCCACAAACACACAAACAAAAAAATCACAAGCCAATCTTACATTTTTTGACATTCAAAAATATTTGAAAATTTAGACAAACTCGAGAAAATCTACATCTTACCAAAAATTACTCAAGGAAAAAATTAAGAAATAAAAGCAATAATCTAATAAGCCTTTCCAAAAGGACAAATATCCAAGTCTAGATGACTTTACTTGTGGGGTCCACCAAATAACTGAGGAAGAAATAATTTCAATGTCACATACATAGTTCTAAAAGACTGGAAAACAAAGGAATCCTTCCTATTAATTTTATGCAACCTACGAGCATAACCATGATATTAAAACCAAATGAGAAAAATAAGAGAAAGAAAAAAGTCACACACAAATCTTGCTTATAAACAAAGATACAAAATTCTTAAATATTGAGAAACCAAATGTAGCTACATAAAAATTAGGTTTAATTACAGGAATGAAAGGTTGAATTCACCAAAGTAACAGATTAAAAAGAAAAATGTCATAATCTCAAAAAATGAAGAGAAAATGTTTATTAAAACCTCAACATCAATTCATAACTATAACTAAGGGAAAAAAGCTTAACAAATTAAAAAGTATATGGACGCTTCCTTTATCTGAAAAAGGTAGGGTGCTATGAACACCCCACAGCCTAAATCATGCTTATGATGACCTATTGAAAGCTGTTTATTTGTTTTCAGGACTACAAAGCAAGCCTGCTATCATCACTTCTATTTGACATGGTAATAGAAATGCTAGTCAACAAAAGAAAAAGAAATCGAGTATAAAAATAAAAAGGAAGGAACAAAACAGTTATTATTTGCAAATTACATGATTATGTATATAGAAACTCTGAAAGATTTATAGATAAAACATGAGGATTAGTAAGTTTGAGTTTAACAGCTTGTACAGTAGAAAAATCAATATGCAAACATCAATTACCTACAGCTAACAAAATACTTCATGGTGAAAGACAGAATAATTACTCTCAAAAATCAGAAACAAGACAAGAATGTGTGTTCTCACTAGTCTTATTCAACATAATACTGGAATCCCTAACCAACATAATAAGGCAAGGAAAAGGAAATAAACGGCATACTGATTGGAAAGGAAGAACTAAAACTGTCCCTACTTCCAAGCGACATGACTGTCTATGTAGAAGATTCCAAGGGAATCTTTAAAACAAACAAACAAAAGCCACAAAACTGTTTCATAAAGGTTATAGGATGCAAAGATCAACATGTAAAAATCAACTGTGTTTCTATATACTAGCAAAGAACAGATAGAAACCTAAGTTAAAAGCACAATACTATCTTTATCATTCCTTGCCATTAATAAAATATTTCAGGATAAACCTAACAAAATATATACAGGATTGGTATGCTGAAAATGACAAAGCACTGATGAAAAAAACCACAGAAGATCTAAATAAATGGAGAGATATACTATGTTCATGAATTGGAAGGTTCAAGATAGTAAAGATGTCAATTCTTCCCAAAACTGATCTACAGGTTTAGGGATTCTAACAACCCAGTAAGATTTTTCACAGATAAGAGACAGGCTTATAATAACATTTACACAGAAAGGGAAAGGAACTAGAATAGATGAAATAATTTTAGAAAAGAATGAAGTGGGAGGAAATTATTTCACAGAACTTTGAAACTTCCTATATAGCCACAAGACAATGTGAAGGGACAGACACACAGATCAATGGAACAGAAAAGACAACCCAGGAAGAAATCCACATGAGTATGCCCAATTGATTTTTACAAAGATGCAAAAGCAACTGAATGGAGCAGTAATAGGCTTTTCCACATTCTGTGTACATAGAACCATCCATCCCCCAAAAAACCAAAACACAAACTTGACCTAAATACCTCATACCTTTAAACAAAAATTTAAAATAGATCATGAATCTAAATACAAAATGTAAAGCAAACAAAAAAGTTTTAGAAGGAAACACAGAAGAAAATCTTCACAATAGAAGCTAGGCAAAGAGTTTTTAGAAATGGTACCAAAAGCAAGAGCCAAAAAAGAAAAAAACTGATATACTGAACTTCAAAAATTAGAAACGTTTACTCTATGAAAAACTATTAAGAGAATAAAAAGATAAGCTACAGATTGGGGAAACAATATCTGCAAATACATATCTGACAAAAGACATATCTAGAATATATAAAGAATTCTCAAAAGTACTATAAAAAACCAAACAACCCAATTACAAGATGGGTTGACATGAACAGATTTGAATAGGATATATAGATGGCAAATAAGATATGAAAAGATGTTCAACATCATTAATCATTAGGAAAATGCAAATTAAAACTACAATGAAGTATCACCATATACTAATAGAATAAAATAAAAAGCAATGAAAATATCATATGTAAACAAAGATGCAAAGAAACTGGATCTATCATACATTGCTGGTAGAAATGTAAAATAGTACAGTCATAGTTAAAAATAGTCTGGCAGTTTCTCATAAAACTAAACATACACTTACAATACAAACCAGCGAATGTACTCTGGGGCATTTATACAGAGAAATGAGAGCTTCCATTCACACAAATCTGTACAAGAATGTTTATAGCAGCTTTGCTTATATACCTCAAAACTGCAAGCAATTAAAATAGTTCATCAACGGATAAATGGTTAAAACTCTGATATATCTGCATAATGAATACTTCTCAGCAACAAAAAGAACTGTTTCACTGATACGTAATAACTTACGGTCATTATACTTACTGAAAGAACCAATCTCAAAAGGTTGCATAATGTTATGGTTCCATTTATTTAACAACCTCAAAACGACAAAACTATGGACATGGAGAACAGATTAGTAGTTGCCAGAGAATAATGATGAGCATGAGAGGTAGCACAAGGGAATTTCTTTATAGTTCTGTATGTTGATTGAGGTGGTGGTGAAATGAATCTATAGCGAAGATCAAACTACACAGAACTTCAAACACACATGAGGGGGTGGGGGGGTGGGGGACAATGTGCAAAAACTTGAGAAAACTGAATAAT